GCTTCACCCCCAGGAGCCGCGGTTTCTAGTTTCCCCTGTGGGGACTCGGTGATCGGCCTCTGAAAGGAGCATAGGATGACGAGGGAATGCTTGGTGACGTGGGGCGGCGAGGTGATGGAGATCGTGATTGGGGGCGTGGACCAAGGCGAGGAGCTTGCTGGCCCGTAAGGTACGCTTCGATGTCGCGGGGACGCTCACCGTAACGCGGGCAACGAGCATCTGGGTGAAAGCCACGGAGACCAAGTTGGCGGTACTGGCAGTTACGGTAGACGTGACCCGCTTCGCCACAGTGGTAGCAGAGTGCACGGTTATCGGACGTACGCCACACGCTGGCCTTTGTGGCGTTTTGCCGCGATCCAGACGGACGATAAGTTGGTGCACTCTGAAACCTTGAAACGGGTGGCGGAGTCGAAGAGGTGCCTTGGAATCGATGGCTAGCCTGATCCATTCTCCCCATGGTGGGATCAGGGCCATGTGGTGCAGGAGATCGCAGAGCCGCCGCATAAGTCAGCACAGGGGCCTCAGGTCTTGTTGGCGCGAGTGGGGTGACCACGTGTCGGATCTCATTTCGGATTAAGTCTGCGAGATCACTTACTGGTGGTTGGGGTCCCGCTGCTTGGAGTTGGCGCAGCTCGTCCCGCACGACGCTTCTTATGAACTCAGCGAGGGCATGCCTCTCGCTGTCAGCCCCGATAAAGCATGCAGCAGGGGTCAGGTCGTGGCGTTCATACTGTGACGACCTATACTGGAGAGTACGCTCCATTGTGGTTGCCTCATTTATGAACTCTGCCACAGTCGTCGGTGGATTGCGCACGAGTCCGGCGAAGAGCTGCTCTTTTACCCCACGCATTAAATGCCGCACCTTCTTTTCCTCGGACATTGCAGGGTCAGCACGCTTGAAGAGTCGAAGCATGTCCTCGACAAACATCGAAACTCTTTCGTTGGGTCGTTGGTTCCGAGACGAGATAGCCTGCTCCGCTCTCTCTTTCCTTTCAGTGCTGCGGTACGCATCACGAAACTGTCGGCTGAACTCATGCCACGTCGCAAAGGAACCCTCGTGATTCTCGTACCACGTTTTGGCAGAGTCTTCTAACGCAAAGTAAACTCTCCGCAGCTTGCGAGCTTCATCCCATTCGTTGATGTTGGCAACTCGATTGAAGTGGTCAAGCCAGTCGTCAACATCTTCATAAATGTCTCCATGAAATGAGCGTGGTGTTTGCGGCGCATGAAAAACATGCGGGAGAAAAGAATAGGCGTCGTTGGTTTGACTCGCCTGGTTGTTAGTTGAAGTTGCCATCTCGTCTTGAGAGAGGGGACCGTACTCGGGAGATAGTCCTCGCAGGCGGCGACTGCTTAGTGCCGTGGGAGCTGTAGCTGTCTCCAAGTAGCTCGGTGTGTCGGCTGAAAATCTGCAGCCGAGGCGCATTTACCCAGCACCTCCACCAGTGCCACGAACATAATAACAGAGAGCGACGAAACGACGTCTTGCTTGCCCTCAGACCAGGACGCAAAAGCCCTCTTCTTTCTTCACTTCCCAAGGATTCCACCTACAGTTGATGGCTCATACCCATTACCTGTGACAATATTAAAATCAGCAATGTCATCTTCGTCTAAAATGTAATTTCTCGGAACAGTTCCCAGTTGGCTGACTTGGTGTTTCAACGAGGAAAGTTAGGCGAGCATGTATCTTCTTTTGTTAACTTCAACATAATCGGGAAGTGGTCACTCCCAAAGGGGTTCTTGAGAACGAACCACTCCAGATATGGAATTAATGTACTCGAGACAATACTCAGGTCTATAGAAGAGTATGTGTTGTGTGTAGTGCTATAATATGTTGGTTCTTTTTTGTTTAGTAGACATGCACCTGACGAAAACAAAAAGTGTTCTATTAGGCGTCCTCGCGCATCTAAACGGGAGTCGCCCCATAGGGGATTATGTGCATTTAGATCACCAACGACTATATATGGCGGAGGAAGTTCATCAATTAAGCTTTGAAATTGTGTCTTCGAAAGTTGACAGCACGGGGGGATGTAAATAGAGGTAATTGTTAGTAGCTTCCCGAACAGCACTGCTCGGACAGCAACTGCCTCAAGAGAAGTTCGGAGGTTTAATTGCTTACATGCAACACCTTTATCAACTATTATAGCGACACCGCCCGACGAAGCGGCAGCGTCGTTACGGTCTTTGCGGAAGATGGCATATTGCTTTAGAAAGTTTGTGTGGACTTGAGATGTGTTTCCTGAACACACAGCACCTTTGGAGTATGTTTATTAAGAAGTTCTCTAATATCATCGAGGTTATGAAGAAGTCCTCTCGCATTCCACTGTAATATCTGTGTGTCCATTTTAGATGTGTTTTGTGCTGTGTGCTCAAGGATGAAAAGTTAGCTCACGGACCCTTCCCAGGAGCCGTGACACGAGATTTTTCTTTTTTGGATCGGTCGACGGAGTCGCGCCGATCCTTAGGCGCTGGCTGCACCCTCACGCTCGGTGTTGTGTCAATCGCCTCTTGCGAGGCACTGGACACGCGCTCTTGCGAGTGCTGCGTTTGTTTTGAGGGCCTCGCCTCAAAAGACGAGACCTTCGGGGCCCCCAGCCCGAAGGTTGGTGGGTCTTTCTTGGATGGCGGAGCAGCACTGGCTGCAACCGCGGAGGGGGCGGATGGCGTCACCGCTAACTCACTACGCGTGTGCCAGACAGCCACCGGGGGCCGTCGTGGGGCTGCCCCCTGAGGCGCCACTTCGGCAAAGCTAGTTTCTGGTAGGTAGGACACCTGCCTTCGTGCCTCCCTAAATGAAATGTTTTGTTTTACTTTAATTGTGACAATTTCCTTTCCTTTTTTCCAGCATGGGCATGACCGTGAGTATGCGGCATGCTCCTTTTTACAGTTCGCACAGTGAAGAGAGCTTTCACAGGCATCAGATGTGCGTTCTTCAGCACTGCATTTAGCGCAAGTTAGGCGGCCTCGGCAGTTCTGTGAATTGTGGCCGAACTGCTGACATTTGAAACATCGGAGAGGGTTTGGTATATATGGCCTCACTCGAAGCTTGATGTACCCAGCCTCAACGGAGTCAGGCAGTACACTTGAATTGAAAGTAAGTATCACGTGCTTAGCCTGAACTTCTTTGCGATCACGCCTCATCCTAATTTGTTTCACATTGATGACATTCTGTTCGCTAAAACACTCCAGGAGTTCAGCCTCCGTCAGCCCTAACAGGTCATCATCTGAAACAACGCCACGGGTGGTGTTCATGGTTCGGTGTGGAGTTACTATTAATTTGGTATCTCCGAATTTCATTAGATTAGGCAGTCTCTCATATTGTTTCTGGTCGCGGAGCTCCAACAGGAGGTCACCACTTGCCATTCTCGATGCTTTATATCCTGGGTCAAAGATTTCCGTCAAAGACTTTGAAACTAGAAAAGGTCAAAGTGTTTGCACTGATTTGCCGGGTGTGTCAGCGTGGATAACGTGGAATTGGAGAAAAAATACTTTCTGGTGACCAAAAATCTGGAAGACTTCATCGGTGCGCCCTCTTTTCTGAGGGTAATCGGGGAGTGGGGGGAAGGAACTAGCCATATGTAAATGTTTACTTTCGGCAGCGGCGCCAGCCACCCACCATGGAGCCCTACAAGGGGACGCTGCAGGGTCTGTAAGTACAGGCCCTGCAGACGCCAGCTGTACGCCACCACTATAACCGAATATGGTGTATCCAAGGTAGGATAGCCACACAGGGTTAACCTTTGCCGCCAGGAAACACGGAAGTCAATGGAAGTGAGTAGAGGACAGGAAAGATTTAAAGTAAGAGAAAAGACAAAGATGTGAGGTGGAGACAGGAAAAGGCGACTGCCGATTCCCCCCGGGCGGGTCAATCCGTGGGCACCGTCTACGTGAAGCCGGGGCCAAAGGGGTGTGTTGCCGCCCCTGGGGGACCTTAAAGGTCCAATCACCCAGCATTGGCTCAACCCCCAGGATCCCCTTTTCCCCGGACACGGCAAAGCCACGCACGGCTAGGCGTGGGAGGGGGTCGAAACCCCCCCCGTGAGCTCGGGTCCGTGGTGTCGCTACACACCAAATGCCTGCTTGCGCAGATGACCCTGCGGGGAAGCAACAAAGAGATAAGAATGTGGGAACTTCTATGGTCATGTTTTAACTGAGCATAGACGCGAACTCAGGCAAGGACACTAGAACAGGAAACTGGACAGACCAAGAGTGCCGTACAATTTCTTGTTCTAGTGTCCTTGTCTGAATGCGCACCCTTATTCAGTTAAAAGATGAACCAATACCAACAAGCCCAATTATCCGTGCTACTGCAATACATTTCTATGGTCCATGAGCCAATGTTCTGCCAATGTTCCTACAGGCATTTTCTTCGTGATGGCTTGTTTGTGGAGGCGTAACAGCCGACCGACCTCGCAGATTGTGACTAAGCGATTTGCTGCTCTTCCAGGGAAAGATCGCAGTAGGGACTCATCCGCATATTTGCTCCGTGAAGGAACCCACTCCCCCTCTCTTCAGTGAAACTGACCGGAGGAACATTGAGTCAGCAAGTTCAATCACTATTAAGTGACCGTGTCTTATTGGCTGATGCCATGTCGGGTGGTGATGTGTGTGTGATTGGTGTTTCACACAAAGAGGAGGAGCCAGACAGGGCTTAAAATAACGCTGCAACGTGCAGGAAGTTGTTCTGAAACATGGTTTAACGGTTCATCCACCACGCTCGTGGTTTGTGGAAGTCTAACTTCTTATGCTGTAATTATTTGTTCAATGTGCCAGCAAATCAGTTTGTTTTTCGTTTCCACAACTTGTTAGCATCGTTTCCTCTACCCGGAATCGCTCCTTGCTACCCCAGTAGTCCGAGTCTGACGTAACCCTAACGTCTCGGCAATCCACGTCAGCGGGGACGCGTCAGGTAGACCCCGACTCGCAACATGGCCTAAAACTCTAAAGCTGCTTTCAATATAAAGCCTCTCTAAACATTAGGGATGAAAACTTTTACGTACTTGGAGGCACTGAAGTGGACTCATCTTTGAAAAGGTCCCCCTGAAAAAAAAATCTGCATCACCACAAATTCCACAATTCTTAGCAGAGAGGGCACAAGCAAAGACAACCATTTACAGCAAGTGAGAATGGGCAAATGTCTTGACACAGTGTTGATATCATCTCGCATTTGTATTATCGGACAAAAAAAATCGGTAACTAGACTGTCTCAGTTATGGAACAAGAATTTCATAGCCATACTGCTAAACTTTACCGATTCAAACATTAACCTGATTCATCAATATTTTTAACATCATAACAGAAACTATGCCTGTTGAATACCTAAATGGCCTGCTTAGAAATAGTGTGAGGCAAGTTTCACCAAAATATGACCATTAGTTTATGAGAAAAAGTAGGACGTATGTGTACAATCAACCCATAAAGTGTACAAAAGTGGGACAAGGCCTCCTGTCCCATTGTCTCACGTGGGCATGAAACTGTAATCCTTTTGCCAAATTCCTAGCACAAAAAGGCCCGATGCAAGTAGTACAAAGGGACACTTCAAAAACTGTGCGAAGAAAAGTTTGTGTGGTACCTCATTTCCAAATGTGGTACACAGTGTACGCCTCTGCCTGTTGCGTTCAGCTCAGTGGCTCTGTCTGAGGTATTCTCATACATCAACAGTTTTAGCTTCTTTGTGCTTGTTTGGTTGGTGTAGATAAGAACGAACATCTCAGTTGTGCCTGAATTTCTGCCCATGTACAATGCTGTGGTGATGGATGATGACAAGCCAAATCGACGTGATGTCACTGAATGCATTAATAACTGTAAGTCTGTTTAAAACTGCTGCGTCAGATTTGTGAACACTATTCAGGCCCAAGATATTTGCTCTCATGGATCTTGTGCATTTGTGTTTCTCTTTCACTTCCTGGCTGTCTAAAGCATAAATTTCATCATTCTTTTGCCTTGGCCATCAATTTCAGAAACAGAATTTGAGCTGCAGCTTTTGGTCTAATTGCCACTGTTCTCATAATAGTGAAAATAATTAAAAATAACTTGGGAGCCTTCTCCATAACAAACTGTTTTGTAACACGATAACACCCTTCTAATTTGAACAAAACAGCTGTGCACGCACCCTTCTAATTTGAACAAAACAGCTGTGAACGCATGTTATGTAGTTAGGCTAAGAAAGGAAATTGCTTCATCTGTTGTCATGTACAATTACAACAAGATTTTTGGCTGCTACACTGCTTCAATTTCGAAAGCAAATCCATAGCTGCATGCTAAAGTTACTGCTTTCTAGATCCAGAAAAGAAAAAAAAAACTTGGACCATCTTTCTAAAGAGAACCCTGATGGGATGCGAAGCAGCAGTGTTGCGCACGTGTGGCATGACGGGTTGAATGGTGCTAACACAAGTGCTGTGGTGAGCGCCGAAAGATTCGTTTGAAGCGATGGCTGGCGTAGATCTCGTAGATGACACGTACAGACATGTTTCAACGCATACGTTAAGCACGCCTTAGTTTTATTTCGCGTGAACTAAAAGTCGGCGGTGTAGCGAGCGGCGGTCGCTGCAGGTGTTACGGGTGAGCGGATGAGGCGGCAGCTTCATGCGCAGACGCGAGCCCATGGCAGGTGAGGGAAAGAGTGACAACAGCGCACACTGCAAGGGGAGCATGAAGTTAAAGTGCAGCAGTGGCGTGACCTACTTGGCACCGGGCCAATACCTGGAGCGCACGGTGCATTGTACAAGAGGACAGCGTTACACAAGCTAGTCAAAGAGCTACCTAACATCTAAAATACCATAAATAGAGAAATTCAGCTACCTTGCACACAATGTGATACCACTTTTACAAAAAGTTTATTTTTATTTATTTCATTTACTTAGTACATACAGCAGACCACGTCGTGGTCCTTGCAGGACGAGCATACATAATTGTACACTAAACTAAAAACATACATATGTATATACATACACAAATAAACATACAAATATATATCTGTATACATACACATATACACACACACATATATATACACACTAATATATAAATGCCTATACAAACATATTCAAAAGAACTTAACAAAATTGTGATAGAATGCACATAAAAAAAAGGTACAGAAAAGTACATGTCACCCATCGTCACAAGTTCTACGGTGCGGGCAGAGAATTCCATTCTGGAATGGTCCGTGGAAAAAAGGAAAACTTGTACGCGTCTGTCCTAGCATAGATAGGTGTTAATGCATCAGAGTGATGGTGCCGTGTTTGCCTTGTGGAAAAAGGGCTTACATAAAGCGAAGAGTTGAGAGTGAATTTGTGGTCAATCAGATTATGTAAAAATCCAAGCGGTACTTCTGTCTTCTTGATTCAAGAGAAGGAATCTCATTAGCCAACATTAGCTGTGACGGGGAGTCCGAACCCGCGGCGCCGTTGTCTCGCGCCCGCGGCGCCGTTGATCTGTAGGTGGCTGAATAGGTTCAACTATGTAGTTGACTGGTGAAGCGCTGGCGCAGGATCCGGTACGGACCGTCATACTTGGGTATGAACTTTGAGCAAAGGCCTGGGGCAGACGATGGCACGCGGAGCCACACGATTGCCCCAGGCGCGTATGACGAAGGGGATGAGCTTCGGTCATGCGAGTGCTTCTGGCGAGCCTGATCGTGCGTTGTTAGCGAACGTGCTAGCTGCCAACATTCTTCTGCATATGTGGCGGTTTCGGCCAAAGTTCTTGATTCTGAAGGGTCTGGGCGGTACAGAAGGATAGTGTCCAAGAACGTTGAAGGTTCTCGATTATAAAAAAGGAAGAATGGGGGGAATCCAGTTGTCGATTGAATTGCGCTATTGTAAGCATAAGTAACGAATGGCAGTATGCGGTTCCAGTTCGTACGGTCATCAGAAACATAGATGGAGAGCATGTCACCCAGCGTGTGATTAAATTGCTCGGACATCCCGTTGGTTTGGGGGTGGTATGCGGTCGTTGTTCGGTGCACGATGTTGCATTCGTGTAGGAGGGCTTCTACAGCTTCCGACAAGAAAGAACGCCCACGGTCACTGAGAAGCTCGCGGGGTGCACCATGCCGAAGGACAAGGTTGTGCAGAATGAACAGGCCGACTTCACGCGCAGTGGCCTCGGGAAGCGCCGAAGTTTCGGCATAGCACGTAAGGTGGTCTACGGCGACGATGACCCAGCGGTTTCCATTTGGTGTGTATGGTAAGGGACTGTACAAGTCGATTTCGATGCGGCTGAAAGGCCGAGAACGACAAGGCAGTGGCTGGAGTGGCCCTGTATATGTGCGAGAGGAGCTCTTCCGGCATTGGCACAAGGAACACGAACGGACGTACTGCCTAACAAAGCGGTACATTCCGTGCCAGTAATAGCGAATTCGTAGGCGAGCATACGTCTTCACTACACCTGCGTGGGCGCATTGCGGATCCGCGTGGAAGGAGGCACAGACGTCAGAACGTAGGTGGCGAGGTATTACCAGCAACCATTTGCGGCCATCAGATAGGTAGTTTCGCCGGTACAGAAGACCGTCACGAATGGTAAAATGGCGAGCAGTTCGTCGAAGTAAACGGTTGTCGGTACGTTGAGACGTCTGAGACAGGTACTCTAAGAGAGACGCTATCCATGAATCCTGGCGTTGCTCAGCGGACATGTCAGTCTGTTCAAGTGAAGAACATTCGCAGCTGAAAACAGACGCTGCAACATATTTGTGGGGAAGTGGCGAGCGAGAAAGAGCATCGGCGTCCGAATGCTTGCGGCCTGACCGATAAATTACACGAATATCGTAATCTTGGAGACGTATTGCCCAGCAAGCTAGGCGACCAGATGGGTCTTTTAATGACGACAACCAACACAATGCATGGTGATCAGTCACGATGTCAAATGGGCGGCCATATACATGAGGTCGGAATTTTGTGATTGCCCAAACAATGGCAAGGCATTCTTTCTCGGTGATTGAAGTGTTCTTTTTCGCTTTAGTGAGGGTGCGACTAGCGTAGGACACAACATACTCATCGAAGCCAGATTTACGCTGAGCAAGAATAGCACCGAGGCCAACTCGACTAGCGTCCGTACGGATTTCGGTTGGAACGTGTGGATCAAAGTGCCGTAGGATAGGTGGTGATGTCAGAAGATGGTGTAAAGACGCGAATGCTTCATCGCATACTGGGGACCACGGCGAGAGGTCTTGGTTGTCGGCAAGTAGCTGCGTCAGGGGTGCGATTATGGTGGCGAAATTTCGCACAAAACAGCGAAAATATGAGCAGAGCCCGATGAAGCTGCGGAGTTCTTTTAGTGTAGCCGGGCTGGGAAAGTCGGCGACAGCACGAAGCTTGGCTGGATCAGGACGGACACAATGCTTGCTAACAACATGCCCTAAAATGGCAAGCTGGTGGGCAGCAAAGTGGCATTTCTTCAAATTCAGCTGCAGTCCAGCGTTCGAAAGACAAGTCAGGACGCTTGCTAGACGGCTGAGGTGGGAGTTGAAGTCCTTCGAAAGGCTAAAGGCCGGGCAAGAAGACAGAGGACGATGAAGTGATGAGCGTGGACAGCACCCACGGTTCCTCCGAGGAAGAAGTGAAAGCGGCTGCTCTTTTGTTCTGTTAATACAGACCTCTTTTTTCTGGTCACACAGTCGTCCTGTATTCTGTTATTTTCACCTAGCGACATTGGCGGAGGTGCTGGACTTCTCCAACTGATGCTTGAGACACCTCCGCACCCTAGCACATCGAGTCCACCACCGCAATCCATTCCTGCAGTGGATACTCCTGTCCACCGCTGCAGTCGCCGACAGCGAGGCCTTAGTCCCGAGGCGATCCCGCTCGAACTTCTCCAGCAACACACCGTACCGGGAGAAATGGCTACCGGAGGGCCTTCACAGCTTACTGTTGATCAGCCTCTAATTCCCGAGACCTTCCAAGGTGAGGTTTATGAAGACGTTGAGGACTGGTTAGCCCAGTATGAGCGAGTCGCCAAAGCCAACCGCTGGTCCACTGAACAAAAGCTATCGCGCGTCTACTTTGCTTTGGCAGACAGCGCTCGTATGTGGTACGAGAACCACG